AAATACACCACCCAAAGTAGAAAAATACCAACAATTGCAAGTTAAAAAACAGTTTAGACTTACCTGTCTAAAAATATCTGTGGGACTCCGAACGCACCGACGAAAAAAGTCGAAGGCAGCTACTGGGGGGTCCCACTATATACATACTAGAAGGGGCTATTTCCCGCGCTTTTGCTTTCTTTTCTGCCCCAGTGCTTTTTATGTGCGGCTCCGACACCGGATGGACTATGTCATACCGTGAGTATTCCATACATTTCGACCGGAGAGTGTGAGGTATAATTGAATGGCAGAGAGGGATCAAGTGACTTGGCCAATATAAAGGTACAGAGATTTGATTTTTATAGATTCATATTCTTATACCAGTTTTCATTGTGTCTTTGACATTGTATACATATATGTTATATAACTGTCGGTGTGTCTCCCTGTACTGTTGGACTATATATTTGTATAATATTGATTTGTAGGCTAATATTGACATGTTGCTGTGTCAGTCAGTCTGGCTTTGGATTAATTTAAATTAACCTCGAAATTAACCGGCAATAACAGCCTATAACAAGCTTTCGTTGGTAGGGATGCAACTACCTGAAAAATATAAGGAGAATTTCGACGTTTCGAGCGAAGGACTTAAGGCGGTTTTCCACTAGGCGAAATTTTTCGACCGAATCGAAATTTCTATTTGTTTCATGAGCTCTCGAGCAGAACTAATTGTAAAAAGACAAAGAGAAATTTCGTTTCGGTCGAAAAATTCCGCCTCGTGGAATCGGGCCTTTACGAAGGGCCTTCGCTCGAAACGTCGAAATTCTAATATTTTTCTAATATTTTGCATCCCTACCAACGAAAGCTTGTTATTATTGGCCGCTACCTACACTAGCCATAAAGACACTGGCACAGACAGTTCAAGATAATAACAGCCTATGACTATATGTTTATAGCACTCTTTCTATTCTTTTCAATTGCTCAAGATTTTAGTTGAAATTAAATATTAATAATAATAGTAATACAATATTTAGTCAAAGGGTCCACTCACCAAAGTGATTTTCAGTCGAGCCCTGATAAAATAAAAAAATATAAAACTATAACAAAAGTGAATATATAAAAGGTTATATAGTAAGAGTGACCTATGTAGCTAAATGTTTCTTTAGTTTAGTTTAAAAAGTTTTAATTTGACGTATATTCCGGAGTCCCACACGGAGAGCGTTCCAGTCGTTGGCTGCATGGTCCCTGAATGCCTGCTTGCCCCAGTTCTTCTTGACGCGTTCCAAATGTATGTTCTGTTTGTTTCGTGTGTTGTAGCTGTGGATGTCAGAGGAGAACTTATGCACTGAACCATTTGGTACTACTGGGGTAAAGAAGTTGTATTTGTTTAGCTTTGAAAAGCGTGATCTGATGTAATATCATGTGGGCGCATATTGCTTAATTAAACATTCATTTCTTTTGAATTTTTTTCCCACAAATTATTACTGAGTTTTTAATTAAAATGTATATATCAGTTACTGTTTGTTTTAACTATTCATTATACAAATTTAACTATTTGGAAGGAGCGAGACAGTGTTGTTTTCCAATGTAAACATTTCAGACGTGAATATCCAGAAAATCTTTGAGATTCTACGAAATTAACAAGTATAATAATATGCATTATACGGGCATTCAATTTAGTACCGATATAGGAAGAAGCGAGACAGTGTAGTTGGATCCCTAGTTTAATTCGGGGAATTGAGATACCGGAGAATCAAGATTCCCGGATTTCGCGTTACTTTTTAGTCAGCTGCACAAAAAGTTCAGGAAATCGATCAGAAGTGCGATTGAGTATTGAATGTCAGAGGGATCAAGTGACTTGGCCAATATTAAGGTACAGAGATTTGATTTTTATAGATTCATATTCTTATACCAGTTTTCATTGTGTCTTTGTATACATATGTTATATAACTGTCGGTGTGTCTCCCTGTACTGTTGGACTATATTGTATTATATATTATATATTATTCGTTATTTGAACCATGTGGTACTACTGGTGTAAAGCGTTGTATTTGTTTAGCTTTGACAAGCGTGATCTGATGTAATATCATGTGGGCGCATTACTTAATTAAACATTAATTTCTTTTGATTTTTTTTCACAAATTATTACTGAGTTTTTAATTAAAATGTATATATTGGTTACTGTTTATTTTAGTCCGAGTTGTAAATATAAATACCCGTCCACTTTTCCTTTTGTAAACACAATAAAGTAAAGGAATCTTAAGTTCTTTGTATGTTTGCATGGCGATAAAATATAATAGTTTTGTTTGTGGAAACACCGATATGTGTTTAGCACTCAAGATCCGGGCTTACGGATCGAAAGCTTTGCAGTAATAAATTTACGTGGTGTTTCCACAAACAAAACTATTATAAAGGAATCTTGTCAAAGCATGCAGTCCAAAGTCACAGTTTAGGGATGAAATCTCAAGAATATATCGCCTTATATCAGATACAACAATGGTCAATGCGTTAATTGTGAAGAATGAGACATTCATAGATTACATATTTCTATATCGGGGGAATATAAGTATACTTGACCAAATGTTGACAAGAACAATAACAAGAAATAAAATCAATGTGGGAATATATTTTACGCACACCTCAATTTGAATTATGTTACTTAAAGATTAACAACAAGGGCGAGGCCGTCGAACTTGCATAGTATGGTCGTATTTACTGATCTTGCGATAATCCACCTTCACGCTGTTACTGGCTTCCTGCGCATTGAGTGTTTAGATATCCATTAATTAAAATAAAAAGAGAACGACAAAGCCAAAGGCTGAACACCGCGTCCAATTTCCGCGAAATGTAAACACTCTCAAGAATATAACCAAATATACGTCTCGACGCGGAGAAATTCAAAGCCCATCAAAGACAACGGAACAAACATACATTTTCAATGGAAAAAGTTGCCGATTACAATGAAATTAATTCGCTAGGAACTTTATCTTGACCGTCTTGTAATTATACACTAGAGAGCTTAAGCACGTAGGACGGCAACACGACGGCGACGGCCAAAACAAATTCATTCAAGTAAATGATAGCAAAGAAAACTTGTCGTATATTATAATTCGTATGAATTTCATACAGTTCTTGTGCAGTGGTCTCCCAGGAGGGTTTGTATTTCATTGAATTGGTTATTATTGTTGAGCTATGAACATTTGTACTTGCGAACTTCGTTGCGAAGTTCACGCCGAATTTTTGAACTTGGGAACGCAGTTATAGTAAGTTCGCAACGATGCATAACATTTACAGTGACAACAACCGAATAAGCACATATTTTGGATAATGGCTGATAATATAGTGACTGGTGATATAATATTGCATGGATAACGTAGAAAGATCAGATTATGCAAGTATCAGGGTAGTACAATTAGTGTCAGACTGACAAATGTTTTTGTGGTGATGACATGATCGATTGGACGAGTCATATAAATTCCCATGCTGTTAGATCTTACAATACATAAAAAATGTTTAAAAATCTATCTATAGTATTAAATATTATATCAGTGAAGAATTTAAAGTTTCATGAAATCTGCGATCCAGCAATTCATGAAAAGTCAATAACTTTTAAAACAGACAACAGAATATATTTGTAACAAGAAAGCCATGCAATGGAATCTTAATGAATTACTGGATTGTTTAGACGTACATTAACGATACCTCCTATAGGCTCCTACCATATTTTTGTAGAGTGAAATGTTGAAAAGACAATAAATTGACATCATTAGTTGCTGCATATGCTCATTATTAAAGCAAAACATTTATTAATTCAAGTGTGACTCAGTAATATATTGTTGGCTGCACCATTGCTATCAACCATTGTTTTTTACATCGAGTGATTGTTGAAACCATTTTTTAGCATTGTAAGAAAGATACTGCATCTGTTTTATTTTTACCATTATTCAATTGTAATTATTAATTTTGTATCACAATGAATATTTGTGATGACTGTATTTAAAGTAATACAGTCATTAATTTTGTAATAACTGTATTTAAAGTGCTACTGCAACGAAATTTTCGACCCACATTTTTTTAGCTTAATTAAAACTACTTTCCTTCTTGACCTGTTTACCACAAACAGAATTGAAATTGGTCAATTCAAACCGATTTTATATAGCCTTCCAAAGTTGCTATTTTTTAAACATTCTCAAAACCTTCAATAAAATAAAGCGACTGCTACGCTACGCAGGCTACCATTTTTGGCATTTCCTGTGCGTACTTTTGATCGGCCATGTTGATGACATGTGACGTCATAAAATGAACACGATTTCATCATGGCGTATTAAAATTATGGGTGAAACCAACAAACGCGGAGACGAAGGCCGTGTTTCTGGCAGTTCTATAACCTAGATTATTGCACGAATTTTGAACAGCCTGAAGGACTACCCATGCGTCTATTCCCAACAAAGAAACAGATCCACAGAGTGAAAGAAAGTCGTTGTATTTTCTTCGTAAAGGCACGTTTTCACGCATCTGCGAACCTAGTGTTTCGATTGAGCCCATTTTGAAGATTCGTGTACTGCTATATCTTATTTTGACAAAACGTCGTAAAATGGAAAGAATGCTGAAGGAAGAAACTGTTTACAAAATTTTCATGGCTAGAATTGTCCCCCCTGGCTAAAGTACAACAAACAGATGCAAGGCAAATAATTCAGGTTAGTGAGTATAACTAAAAATCAATATGTTCGCATGTTAAATATTTTCGTTAATTCTTAGTTAATTATGTAATATTCGCATGCCAGAGATATAATCCGTGATATATATATATATACCTAAATTGACAGATTTAGAGTCAGAGTGAGTGTGTGATGCGATGCGAGACAGTGAGGGATTGAGACTCGAGAGCCAAACTGGGCGTGTGATTGCGAATATACTTTTTAATAAAACTACAAAAAGCTTGTGATTTGTGAATAGTGTTGCGACTACATACTTTATTTCCGACACTAAGTGGCACCTCCGACGGGATTACGTACGTTTTAAACATGACTGAAGGAAGCGAGGATGTGAAACTAGTGGCAGATCTTAATGCCAAATTAAAACTGCTTAAATTTACACGAGACAAAACTGGCTCAATTACGACTGGTTCCATTATTACTGCTATGGAACGTCACCTTAAAGCGTTGAACACTGTGCTAGACGATGTAGATGGACTGCGAAGAAATGTTGAACAGTCCAAATTCGAAAGGGGCGAAGAACCGGAGGCGGTTGCAGAATGGGGCGCAGAATTGGACGGGGAGATTGGGAAAACAGACGAAGCCATAACTGCACTCAAGAATGCCATCACTGAGGTAAGATCCAACCAAATAGGTAGAGAAAGAGAGAAAGAGCATGCGTTAAAAGAAAAGGAACGCGAAGAACAATTATTGTTTGAAAAGCGCAAGTTTGAACTCAAATTAGAATACGAACAAAAACTTGATGAAACGCGGAAATCTCAAGGACAAGGTCACGCTCAAGAATCGAAACCGCTAAAAACTCGTGTTAATTCTAAACTTCCAGAGCTAAAAATCACGAAATTTAACGGGAGTGCGAGTAACTGGCTCACATTTTGGAACAAGTTTGAAGCGGAGATTGATAAGTCCGACCTTGCGCCAACCACAAAATTTGCGTACTTGAAAGAAAT